TACAGCTGGCGCACTCGGCCGGAGCGGCGAAGGGACTGTCTCTTATACACATCTAGATGTGTATAAGAGACAGGAGAGAGAGAGAGAGAGAGAGAGGGAACAGGGGGGTACCTGTTTCATCAGATTTCGAAATGGCCTTTCACTTCCTCCTGGTTTCTTGTCGTCGATCAAGGTTTCCTCAATGGAGGTTTCCAGCTGTTACCAAGATGACAAAGAAGACCGAGGGGAAAGGAGTTCAGGGACGAAAAGCAAGCCAGGACTGCAAAAAAACATACATCTTACTACCTTGGATTTGCAGATCAGTGCTCAGCACTGGTCACGCGGCGGCTGCATCAGCCTCCATGCATATCCAGCCACAAAAGCAGAAAGGGAACTTGCTGCCACACATCTGCCCCCAAGGTTAAATATGGGGAGAAGTCCCATCCTTTGTCCTTTTGAAGTTTCAACTTTCAACTTTTCACGTTTTTAGTACTTTTTACCCTTCCATTTGTTTTCACATTTTTGCCTTTCCCGTACTCCATGTGTCATGCCAAGCACACAAAACGATGCAATGAGCTGAATGAGTTGATGTCAAGAAACAGACCAAAAACGGAAGTCCTGCATTTGAACTGCCCAGAATGGGAACTCGATCATAAAAAATCATCAAAAATCACAGAAGACGTGTAAATAATCAAGATCAACCAAAAAAAGTTAAAAAACACAGACCACACAAGTGGGGGAGGAGGGGGGGGGGAGAGGGGCAGGAGTTGTCGCCATAACCGTTTCTTTTGGGAAAAGCTCAGAAAACACCCAGCCCATGTGTACACATGGTATTTTGCAAGGTATTTACGAAATTCAAAAAAGAAATTGTAGAAACAAAAAGATCATGAGTTCAAATCATGGTTACGGTCCGGACGTCCGGACCGAGTTCCAGACAGTTCGGAGTACCATCTCCGCGCGGACGTACGGTCCGGAGGGTCCGGAAGGTGCCAAATCCAGAGGACTTTTTTTTTTAAAAACAGGTCGGCCTGGACCCTTTGTTGGGTTGAGGCCGATCCCAGAAAATTCTCTGTTAATTTTTTGACCCGTTGGGCCTCTGCAGACACGGCTGGACGCGCGCTTCTTAGGTTTTAGATTTTTTTTTTTTTTTTTCGTTCACTCTGGACTCTACAGTCTTGGTGTGGCCTCGTTTTTGGGGGGAAACAAGGTCTGTTTGAATCGAAACTCCCCCCGCCCGCCATTCAGCCCGCTGGTATGCGATCAAAACTCCCCCCGCCCGCCATTCACCCCGCTGGAATGCGACGAGCTGTTGACGTCGTCATTACAGCGCTTCCCCCATCGTCGTCGCCGTGGCTGCTCCTGCCGTGTGCACGTGGTCGCCGTCAGAGAGAGAGAGAGAGAGAGAGAGGAGTCGTGGAGGAGGGAGGAGTTGTGGATGACGCAGGAGACGCAGAGGAGGGAGGACAACGGTGGCTTAGGGGAGGGAGGATCTCGCAGACGAAGTGGACGTCAAGGAGGAACAGAGAGGTGCAGTGTGTTGGTCGTGCTGTGAAAGGATTGACACAAGTCACACCAATGACAGCACCCTCGACAGGGTTGTATAAGCAATGTCACCCTCCCTGGCAACTTTTTTTTTTTTTTTTTTTTTTCGGTCGTCCGCGTTGGCTATGTCTGGAAGGTCCGAATCATGTTCCGAGTTCTGGACGTCCGGACCGTTCCGGACGTGCATCTGGTGTAGGGCCAAACCCCGTTAGACTTTCGAGCCTGTGTCGACCCCACTACGGGTCCCAGTTGGCTCGGCCTGCCCACGCTCATGCTCAGGGCGCGGGCCACTCGTCACGAGGTCACCCCCACCTAGTGCTTTAAGATGGATGGGGGTGGGCCATCGAGCGAGAGAGCTTTGACATTGCAGATGTAGCTCAGCCCTCATGCCGCGTGGTAGTCTAGCTGATCGTTTCGCAAGCGTAATTTTTCTGATTCTCGGTTGTGTTCGCAGGCAATTGCTTCTTCCAATACTCATGCAGTCCAGGGGTTCTTTGAGATCTTCTCTTCTCTCGTGCGTAGGCTAAGTGTCATCCTTAGGCCACCCACCATTTCCCTAACACAACAGCCCTATGGCCTCATTGGGGCGCGACTGTGCCGTCTTCCCCTTTGCCCCTATGCGCTTTTGGTGACCAACACATTCCCTTCATGGCTTAGTTGCTTGCCCCTTAATCCTTTCTGGGCTTCCATTCGCACACAGAGGGCTACTTCACATTTCAACCGCTCAAGGCTTCAGTCATTTTCTCATTCCGCATTCAAGGTCTCATACACGCAGGCCCATTCATAGGTAGAGCTTTACACTAAGGGCCCCTTAGCCCTATGCCCTTTCCCATTTCCTTTGCCGCTCGGCCTACCCGGCCCAGTCCCGCTCAAGACATCCCAATGCTACTCACCTTCACAGTCAAACGCAAAGGCAAAACCCGATACAATCCCCCATTGGGGTCAACACATAGCCCTTCCCACATGCCTAATTTTCCTTTCCTTGCTCTTGGCTTCCTTCCATTTCCTTTCTTCTGCCCAGTCAATCCATCCACTTTCTCTAGTCATGCAGTCGAGGTTCTGCTTGAGTCAACTGACCTCTCTTCTCAATCAACAATCTCTTCCCCTGTCCTCTCTAGACTAGTCCACTTTCCGAGTTCACAACGTTTTTGTGCTCACCGTTCTCAAATATCCCCTTTCTTTCCCTTCTCGGTGGCACAAGGGACTGGCAGTCCTTCCCTTGCCCTCTTCCCCCATTGGGGTCAACACATAGCCCTTCCCACATGCCTAATTTTCCTTTCCTTGCTCTTGGCTTCCTTCCATTTCCTTTCTTCTACCCAGTCAATCCATCCACTTTCTCTAGTCATGCAGTCGAGGTTCTGCTTGAGTCAACCGACCTCTCTTCTCAATCAACAATCTCTTCCCCTCTCCTCTCTAGACTAGTCCACTTTCCGAGTTCACAACGTTTTTGTTCTCAAATATCCCCTTTCTTTCCCTTCTCGGTGGCACAAGGGACTGGCAGTCCTTCCCTTGCCCTCTTCCTCCACCAAGTGAGGTCAACCTTCCTTTTACCGTTCGTCCCTTGGCAATGTAACAAGTGAGAGGGAGAGGTTAGTTGCATGCCAAGTGGGAAGAGAAAAAGGTTTAGACTTAGGCTATGAGAGAGGTAGAGGAAAGAGGACCAAAGGACGAGAGAGAGAGAGAGAGAGAGAGAGAGAGAGAGAGAGAGAGAGAGAGAGAGAGAGAGAGAGAGAG